ATAAAGAAATTCACTCAGAAATTCACTCCTAAATTCCCCCAAAATACAGAAATTCAACCAGAATATAGAAGTTTTTCCCAAAATACAATATTTTCCCAAAATACAGAAATTCACTCAGAAATTCACTCCTAAATTCCCCCAAAATACAGAAATTCAACCAGAATATAGAAATTTTTCCCAAAATACAATATTTTCCCAAAATACAGAAATTTCCTCAAAATACAGTAATTCCCCCGAAATACAGAAATTCACCCGATATAGAGAAGTTCCTCCAAAATACATAAATTCCCCCAGAAATACAGAAATTCCTCCGAAAAACAGAAATTCCCCAAAATACAGATATTTCCCCGAAATTTAGATAAAAATCCGCCTTTCAATCTAAACAGCTTGACATATTTCTTATTTTCTGACATTCACTCAAGCCATTTTGAAGCCATAATGGAATAGTTGGGAAGCTAAAACAACTACTTATACATATTTAGTTTTTTTTGGTATTCTGGACAACTGATCAGAATAAATTGATTAGATAAGTTCATTAGATAGATTAGTTCATTAGATAAGTGGTATGTGAATCCTATTTAAGATATTTGTCCTTGACACTATCCAAATATTTAATAAAATAATAGAAATCTGACAACAGGTCATCTGATACTGATGTCGTCTGAGAATAGCAAGTACTTTGTTGTATTCAAATTAATTTGCGACATACAAGCAGAGAAAAAAAACTACAAAAACTATTATTACCTTATAATTCAGATATTCAGATAATGATGAAAAGGAGCATGGTGTTGTTTTATTGAAAAAGAAAATGTTTACATGTTATATTTACTAATTCAGCTGAGTTCCATTAACAATATGTTCAGAATTACATCTTGTCTTAAGAATACTGAAGTACCTTTTCAATAGAATTCATAATTTGATATATCACTGTCTGAATAAATAAAAAGAACATTGATATTTAAATTACACAAGATCTTGCGGCAAAAGACAGAGCAATTTCCAGCTGATATTTAGCTTACTGCAAATATACTCTTTCTGAATAACGAAAAATCAAAAAAGGATACTGCTGTCAACTAAGAACAATACAGAGAAAAAAAGTCACTTATATTTCTTGGAATGTACATTAATTGAGAGAGAAAACAATTTTAATCTGAAGCATGTTTGTGTAAAGCCAGACTAGTTCTGAACAACCATTCTTATGATAACAAAGGTAAGAATTTACTGCAAAGATTACATATTGGTGCCCAAAATAATTAAAAAAAACAGACCTAATGAAAAAAAAAATTTTAGTGTATTATGCATCTAGCTGAAAATATGCCTCACAGATAAATGTTTTATTTCAATATAAGTACTCATAAATGACAAGTACATTATATACATGTCTTGTAAGTTCACACTTGGTTTATCAGATCATGAAAATAAGGACTTTGTAATGTCTCACATCCAATAAATAAACTGATTGAAAACTTGTCCCTAGGATATGTTGTTAATGTTGCAAAATATTCACAATATATGTAAAATTCATCTCTTGCCACATACTTCTGAGTCATCTCGAAATATAACTCGAAAACCACCCAAGTACAATCAGTTCTGATATATTAACAGTCAGATCTTTTTGGGTTATTCAAGTTCCCACAAATTATTTCATTTCAATAGTAAATGACTCAACAATCTTTCAATTGTGATACATGATAACTTTGAATATGCCTTTTGATACATATTCAGTGATTATTATGTGCAAATATCAGTTATATCGTCAATTTAGGTGAAATAAGTAAGGCTCCCCAAAAAATATTGTAACAGGTTTTTATGCATTCGTTGTTTTTATTCATATGTATAATTCATCTCTGACCATTGTGTTGAGACCTTCAAAACTCTTGAGGTCACCGGCGCATCTTGTTTATATTTTAAGGATTCAAGCATTTAATTAGATGCCTGCATTTTTATAAAGGTCAAGCTACTTCAAGGTTTCAACTAAGTAAGGTATATCAAATGATTCATATGATATGATCAATTCCTTTCCTCTTTTTTCCGATGTGGAAATTGGAAATCAGTTCATTCATTTTTTTTATGAAACTTCAATTTTCAATTAGTTTATGCCTAAACTGTGGTAAAATTAATAATCTTCAAGTGAGTAGTTTCTTTAATCATTAAATAGGTAGTTTCTATATAATGCTTGAATTTTCAATGAGTTCCTGCATGAACTTTGGTAAAATTTTTAGTCAATATATAGATATAAGGTCATATGATTCAAAATATTATATTATGCACAAATTAGGTAAAATTTAGTCCATATAAACACGCCTGAGGAAGCTACCATACAGTGAAACACTTGTTGCGTTTTTGTAAAACTGCTTAGTGGAAATCTAACAATAAAATGTTTCTTAAATACATTACAGATTTTCATCAAGAATCAGCCAATTCTATCACATAGATATAACAAGACCAACCTATTTGGAAATGCCGTAAAAATTAAAAAGAATGTTTGACAAACAATCTGAACTTACTTTCATACCCTGCCGAGTGAGACCATAACGAAACCATGGCTAATAACCAATGACAAGATGGAGTAGTAGAAAGCCAAAAACTTTCATTCTCAAAAATCGTTATCATCTTTCTTACATTTCCTACACAAAAATAATGCATGAACGATAGGTAGGTAGTTACATTTTTTATAAAATTAAGATAGCCTCATAAGTAATAATTTTAAAGTGGGCCTGTTAAAATATTTCCCACAAAATCTAGCTGAAGCGAATGAACCCTTCTTGTGCTTGAAACTCAATGGGGTAGTTCTGAAATAATTGTAAACTTATGTAACATATAATGAAATGAGAATTAAAATATTAAAATTTTTCTTAGTCATCACATCAACAGACCCATGTAGTGAATACACAATCATTCTCAACACCTACCTTGGACTATCCATATTTATTGTTACTATTGTTCTCTAACGTTCTTAACTCACTTATCACGTCACAAATTTCATGAAAGATTCAACGATAACCTTCGGACATTGTAAAAGTTCAAAAATAGTCGAACATACAAAGAATATATCTCAATACAACTATGTAGATGATTGAAATTCTTCGCGGAATTCGAGTTGGAAACCGACAGATATCAGTTGATACACGTGAATTATTGATAAGACTTAAGTAGTAAATCTACAAGTTCAGTCGGTATTCATCTATCTTCTTATAACGTAGATAGGATATCTAAACACACATTATTTGGTAAATATGAAATGAAACATGATGGCTTGATTTGATAGCAGATTGGCGGATGGCAAATGACATTGGCACAGTATAATGCTAAAAGATCCAGTAGTTTACCCTTGTCGGAACCACTGATGTTTGTGTCATACAGTTTTATTTTTTTAGGACACTGCGCATCCATGATTATCGTCCACGAGTGGATTTGTCAGCGGTTGACATTTCATACACTGCTCAACAATTGAATAATAGATATAAACTGCTCAACAAATTCTATGGAAAATTGAATTGATGTTTTGTAGTAATATAGAATATTATATATCAGTTTCAATTTTTTTATTCAAATTGTTCCACTTTTCTACCCGCTCCTTGTCTATTTGGTACAAACTTTGGAGTTTGTACCAAACAAGAATTGATTTGCTTGTCCAACCCAGCCGATCCTTTCAAAACATACATGTGCGAAGGTGGTTATTTTCAATTGAATGAAAAATGATACTCATTGCACAAGGACAATTATCGTTTCCAAATGATTTCCCAAAAGATATCTAAGCTTGGTGCTACATAAAAAAAAAACTAATGAAATCTTCTGATATTCTGACTATTGTTAGAAATGGGTGTTGGCAAATTTTTTCTTTGGTTGATGGCATCCAGGAAATGTGCTACAAATAAAAACAGAACAATTTTATGAAATAATTCATTTATTTGTTCATCAGGCCCTAGATAAAAATATATAATCACTCACCCGAATTGACTGTCGTGTTCGTCGGTGGTTGAAGCCCTATTCTGAACGATCGAGTTCCACTTGCATTCGTCCAACCCGTTTTAGGAATCACACGTTAAATGGTGAGACCTCCTTTATACCTAGCTCGCACAAGTTTTTACTTCTGAGGGTTGTCGTTCGCAGGGATGCGACAGCTGGTTAACGGAAAAACAGATTTCAAACAGTTTTTTATTCAATCCCTCATCTTTTAAAATTGGCCACAAACTAAGGAATGCTGAAATGAAAAAGAGAGAATTGAAACTTTCTGTTTTTTACCACTCTCATTTGTAATTAACGTTGTAATTACCCCTTTGCAAACTTCATCCTATTGATAACATCTTCGTTGTTTTCTTCTGAAACTCTCATTTCCCTAAACACTGTTTACATATCTTTCAAGATACGAATACAATATGAAATAAATCGAAATTTGGAATATTTTTGTCGAAGTTGTAATACTAGCCACAACAAAACTTCTCTTTATCATGATTCCACAAGCGAAACGTTGCCGATTATCGAGGCAAAAAACTGTTCTCTACGATTCGATCATGCGCGCTGTGATTTATCATCAAAAGGTGGGGGCAGTTAGACTACTGGTACTTTTAGCATTATACTGTGACTTGGATGGCAATGGCTGCGTCGCTACGTTCAGTCAAAAAAGCTGAAATCATTGCCCTGAAAGTGTGAAAGAGATTTTTGAAGCAACTAGACGGTATGTCAAATGTCAGTTGTCATGTCATTAAAAAAATAATGTAATCTTGTAGCCAGTTTGAAGAACAGTACTTTTTATGTTATGTTTGAACTAGTATGAAGTGTTTTCGATTGGAGTTTCTAAATCGATGGTCAAGAAAAAATTGGAGATATTTCACATTCCCAATATTTTCTTTTTCGTGATTATTATTAAGCAGTACTCAAAACCATAACCAATCTGAATGAAATCGCCCCGAAGCGCCAATTAATTTTTATTGTTGTATTCATTTTATTTTTAATGTCATAAATTATAAACCAATCTGAAAATAGCTGTCAGCTTTAAGTCAACATTGTCAACTGTGACGTGTGACAAATGTCTGGGATGACAGGACAGTGACGTGTAATATATGATTGTTTTAAGAGTACATAATTGTTTTCACGTTACCTTTAATAATGTTAGATTTATTTACAATTTTTAGTAAGGGAGGAATGGTATTATGGTGCTTCCAAAGTACCAGTCAACTATTCACCCCTTCTGTGAATGCATTGATACGAAATGTCATTTTACAGGTATGTTTCACTGAAATTTCTTAAAATATGTTGAGATTTTTACTACTTGTGAATTCGATTTCAAAACAGCATCTACATGATTCATGTTCAAGATTTCTTAGTGGAAGTTTGTATTTGAAGCTGCAATAATAATTTTAAGCTCATTACATTTAAAGTATTGATCTATGCTTTGCCCCATTTCTTTTTGTCTCAATATGTTATTGGAAGTATATGTCTTATTAATTCGTGAAATGTAGTTGAAGCAGTAGTGTTTCTTTTCTAGGAAAGAACTAATGTCAGCACTTTTGATCATAACGGATTGCTGCTCCAGTACAAACTGGACAATGAATTTGATTTGGTTTTTGTGGTGGCCTATCAAAAAATTCTACAGTTATCCTATGTCGATAAATTCCTTAATGACATACATTTAGAATTCAGAGATAAGTACAAAAATGAACTTTCCGATGGAAAGTACTTTCAAGATTTTGATTTTATGGGAGTATATGATTCCACGTTGAAAGCAGCTGAACAGTGGTCGAAAATTCAGTCGAAACAACCCAAGCAAATGAGAACCTTTGAAGACTCTTTCAAATCTAAAAAGACAGTAGCATCTATGATAGAGAGGAAAGGGGAAGAAAAACCAGTGAAGGCTGTAAAGAAGAAAGAGGTCAATTTTGCTACAGAAGGTTAAATATAGTTTCTTTTTGTCTTATAAATTATTAAAAGTTATACAAAATGAAAAAGGCCTAGAACCTTGAAGAAGTTTCTTATGTTGTTCTACATAATGGAAAATATCTTTATTACCACTTAAAAAAAATCGAAATTATTCATCACAAAGGCTCAAACTATTTTTTGAAAAATTTTCAAGTAGACTCATATATTTTTGTCTGCTGATCATGAATCTGAAGTTCAAAATGTGCGCTCTGGCCTATTTTGTCTATTTTGTTTTTCTGGGATTATTTGTATTCCTTTATTGTGAAATGAATGCTCTTATTCACTTTTTTTTTCAGAAAAAAGTATAAGTCTTCCATCTTCCCCAAAACCTGTAACAAATGGTTTCATAGATGAAGAAACTTTGGCAGCAAATAGGGCAAAATTGGCAAAGAAAATGCAGAAGAAAAAGCCTGATCCTAAGTAAGATATAGTTTGCATTCCATATGGGAATAAGAAAACATGAAGCAAAATGACATACTTTGCATACATATACAATGTGAATCTATACATATAAAACATGAATTTGCTTTTAGAAAAAGTCCTAAGAGTCCACAGTCGGAAAAGGCAGGCAAAAAACCTAGAAAATGGGATTTGGGTGGTAATAATAAAGATCTTGGGACTCTCGAGAGAACTACTGATAAACCAGAAGATATGAAAAGTAACTTCACTCCAGACACAGAGGTACTTGTCAGTTTATTTTTATGAAAGAATTCACATATTTTATTATTTTCTGCAAATACTTTTCAATCTGATAGTTGTTAGGTGAACAATTGTATAATGGAGACTTTATGTAGAAATAGAGAAAATTTGTCCAGGAATATAAAGTCAGCAGTACTAGTTTCATTATTTTTATACAGTTGATCAAATAGGAATGAGATGAATTTTGGATACCTAGTTTCAAAATTATGCATCAGATAAAAGTTTTGCCAAGCAAATACTTTTTAATCTGATAGTTGTAAGTTGAACAATTGTAGGTATAATGGAGACTTTATGTAGAAACAGTGAAAATTTGTCCAGGAATATAAAGTCAGCAGTACTAGTTTTATTATTTTTATACAGTTGATCAAATAGGAATGAGATGAATTTTGGATACCTAGTTTCAACATTATGCATCAGATAGAAGTTTTGCCAGTATTGTGATTGTATTTTCTAATCAGTATGAGTTTTTTATTCAATTCATATTTGAATGGGAAAATGAACAGGGGTGGTACAGTTACAACTAATACGGTTATAACTGAGCTAGTTATAATCTAATTATTATGAACTTCATGATCAATAGTTTCGGATACATCCTCCAATATCAGAAAAAATTAGCCTTGAACTGGGTACACCCCAAGACTGTATCTTAAATTTGCTATTGTTCATTTTGTTTGTCAAAATTCACCACTGCACTCAAGTTAGGAAACAATATTCGTGTATGCAGATAATACCTCAATAGTTGTACATAGCAATCAATGCATTACAAGACCAGTTGACACTGATTTACCTTTATCTGAATAATATAATAAATATACCAATATGTATTTTAATTTTCAATCCTTTAAAAGATTGTGGGACAAATGAAGGGGATAATCAAAGATCTGGAAGTAGAATCTTCAGACGAAGAATATGAAGAAGAGGAAGAAGAAACCGCAACAAAACAGCCCGCCAATAAAACATCTTCCAAGGGTGGAATGTTTTCCATTTTCAAAGGTCTTGTCGGTTCGAAAAATCTCACCAAGTCTGACATGGCGCCTGTTTTGGAAAAAATGAAAGATCACCTCATATCCAAAAACGTCGCTGCTGACATTGCTATAAAGCTGTGCGAGTCCGTAGCAGTTAAATTGGAGGGTAAAGTCCTTGGAACTTTCGAGAGTGTTGCTTCCACTGTTAAAAGTACCTTGACCGATTCTTTGGTTCAGATTCTCAGCCCCAAGAGAAGGGTGGATATTCTGAGAGATTGTTTGGAGTCCCAGAAGCAGAACAAACCTTACGTCATGGCGTTTTGTGGGGTAAGAATGCAATTTATGGAATTTCTCTAGTTTTTTTCAATAAAATTTTTACTTTGAATGTGTCCATAATAATGAATGTTACAAATTTGGACTTTTATTCTTCAATTCGATATTTGATTTATTATTAATTGATGGAAAGTGACAAATTTATGTCTTCTCTTCAAGGTGAACGGTGTTGGTAAATCGACCAACCTCGCGAAGATTTGTTTCTGGTTGATAGAAAACAACTTGGGCGTCCTGATAGCCGCCTGCGATACTTTCAGGGCGGGGGCTGTCGAACAACTACGCACTCACATGAGACATCTCAATGCTCTCCATCCACCTGAAAGGCATGGCGGCAGACAAATGGTCCAGCTGTATGAAAAAGGGTACGGTAAAGATGCTGCTGGAATCGCCATGGAAGCCATTAAATATGCCAGAGATTCTAGAATCGATGTTGTTTTGATTGATACGGCAGGAAGAATGCAGGTATAGAGCAGAATAGAGTTTTATTTAACCATGTTACGTATCAATACATTTATGGCAGGTCACAGTACGTGAAGAGAAATATTGCAATAATAAATATAGTTTAAAACACTAAAAAAACACGCTTTTGAAGTTCATTGAAGTAAAAAGTTATAAATATTTTTTTTTGAATAAGCTTAAAACAATAACGAACGAAAAATACTAGTAGACGAGCGCTTGATATACAAAAAATATGTCACAAAACGCCCACGCATTTTTCCCAATAATAATGGTATTTTTCGTTCGTTATTGTTTTCAGCTTATTTAAAAAAAAATATTTTTAACTTTTCAGTTGGATGTTCTTTAAAAGATCCGCGAATAGATCAAATAACAATGTCCATATATCAAAGAGGTTATGTACAGCGCCATCTGCCCTGCGAATAGATCAGGCAATAATCGATCTACCAAGAAGTTATGTTCAGCGCCATCTGCCCGCGAATAGATCAAGCAATAATGTTGGCAATTCTGTCAAATACAGATCCCGAGGTTGAGAGTTACAAACATACATACATACTGGTGAAGTTAATAAAAAGCGTGTAAAAATAAAATGTTAAACACATAACTGGGAACTATTACTTAATAATAATCGGCTTCATTCATCGACAAGAATAATGAAGAATAAAGTAGCAGATACAATAAAAAATAAAAGGCGAAGTTCAGCTTGAGCTGTTTCAGTTCAATCTACTGGATGGACTGAAAAGTTCGCAGGCTAACACACAGATGGCGTTACAAGTATCAAATCCATTAACTTTCAAATAACTCAAACCTTTAAAACACCCGTGTACAAATTTCACAGCTGTGGGACTATCAGTTTGTGGAATAGAACATTTGGAGTGAAGCAATTTGTGTTAGTTTGAAGATGGGTGAAAAGGAATATCGTGTGTTTGTCAAGCCAAGGCTTGACAAACATTCGTACTTTGCACCAGGAAAGTCAACCGTTGGAAAGTGGTTTGCTAAGTTTAAACGGGTGACATATCACGAACTTCGTACTCTGGTGACCGGCTCCAGGCATAACGTTGTGTTGCACAATGAAACTCTGAAAGAGCTTAATATGAGGTACTTTTGTGCTTCAAAATCAAACGTGCATGATCATGAATATAGAATATAGTAATGAAATGTGAGGTTGAAATCTTCAGAATGTGAGTCTCGTTAAGATTCACTCAGTACCTCATTACGGAAGCGCAGAAGGGCCACATATTTTTATTATTTGTTTTTTGGACATTGAATCTCGACATTTCGACTTTAATCTCGAAATTTCGACTTCAATCTCGAAATTTCAACTTCAATCTCGAAATTTCAACTAATGTCGCTTCCACAGGGAATTGATTAATATTATCTAAAGAATACTTACCAGTAGCTAAATATTTCATAAAAGTTCTTATGGAAGCTCATATATGATGTAGACAATTACAAAGCTCAATGAGACAAACACCAGAATGTAAATTCCTCGCACTCGACGCGAGTTTTTCTGACAAAAATGCATCTTCAAGAGAAGAATTTATGAAGTATCAGTTCTACTCCTGACGATATTAACTGAGCTGTATTTGACAGATTCTGCTTTCATACCACAGGTTGCGGTCATTCCTATGACTACTGCTTGCCAAACCCAGCGGGTTATATCGTTCTGGTCAGCTGCTGAAGTTTTTAATGAAAACTTCAGCAATAGAAAAGCAAATCTACTAGCTGAACAATTTGCGTCATACTCCACTCGATTTTCTGGAAAAGACACCACTCACCATTCACACTCTAGAATCCACAATGCCGGAAATTACTCTTCGGCAATATCTAGTCAGGTGAATTCTGAAACAGCTCAACATAACAAGGCGTCTGGTGCTGATGAAGTGCTTGTCATGTACTTAAAAAGTGCGCCAATTGACTCGCAACAGTATTTTGCAGACTATTCAACCTGTTTTACAAGGAAGAGGTTTTCCTTCTTGTAAGAATATTGTTCGCGTTCAGCCTATTCCCTGAAAGGGCAAGAAAAATCTTCCAAATAACTATAGCCCAGTCGCTTTACTATATCAGCGATATAAAAAATCATGGATAAAGTCGTAAACCACCACATCCTCAAATATTTGGAAGGCTTCAACATCTTGAGCGATCATCAATATGGCTTTCTAAATCTGTCTGTTCTGTTTTTCCGTTAAACAGCTACCGTCCCCTTACGAACGACAACTCTCAGAAGTTGTGAAACTTGTGCGAGCTAAGGATTAACGAGGTCTTACCTTTCAACGTGTGATTCCTAACACGTTAAAAGGTAAGACCTCGGAAACAAAGATCAACAGGCGATCTTCTACCGTATGTCACCCATATTTGGAATAACGCAACCGAGAAACATGGAGAATCAAGAGCTGTTGTGCTTGATATTTCTAAGGCATTTGACCGTGTGTGTCATAAAGGTTTGCTAGCCCAACTTCAATGCTATGCCTTGTCGGATCATTTTTGTGTATGTCTCTTCAGCTTTGAATTGAATTCCGAGACATCGGATGCACATCTTCAACAGCAGCAGGAGGTTGCATATCTCAATGGTGCTCTAGAACTGATTTTGAATTGGGCTGAAAGTCACCAGGTTCGATTTTATGCTACGAAAACCCAGGCATCGCTTTTCTCCAAAAAGATAAATGTATCCGAACCGAATATAATAATATCAAGACAGACAATTCCACTTTCTGCTTCGATAAGTTTGTTGGGGGTTGAAATGGACACCAGTATGTCAAGTCGCTGGAATTGCAAATGCTGCTTTTCAAAAGCTTAGAACACTATTTTGAACCAGAAAACTGAACACACCCCAGCAACTGTTGATACTTTTTAAAGCTCAGATCAGAACTTCTTTAGAGTATTGTTCACATGTATGTATCTCCGTCCCTAAGCATACCCTGAAGGTGCTGGATTCCATCCAGAAAAGAGCCATCTGCCTTATTGGATATGTTAACACTACCACCAACACCGGTACATATCAGAAATACGCAACGGACTATGGCTGTCCATTGTTTTGAGGTTCAACTCAGTACACCTCGAACTTTACTGTTCAAGAACTCTTCCATTTGGGGGACTGCGTTAATGTGGAATAAACTTTCTGAGAACGTTCCCAAATGAATTTAATCTCCAGAGGTTTGAATTCAATGTGAATCGTTACTTTCTCACAGGCACAGCTCTTAGAGAGCCTTAAGGAATTTCCAGTAAAGCTTGTGATTTGTCCTTGAAAAACTGTAGATATTATGTGATAATAATTTTATTTTTCAAGAGTGGAATAAAAAGTCAAAATAGCATTTTCATAAGTTACATTTATTATAATTATCACATAATGATTTGCATATATTTAGTAGATTACAATTGACATATTTGTATTATTGTCACAAACTGGACCCGAAAAATAAGCTCTTTGAATATTGACATGTTATTATGAAACTACCTGTATATTATTGTGATTGCTTTTAATTTTGCAGATTGTTGAAATTCCCTCATAACTTTTTTCCACGCTTCTGGCTCAATTATTTTCCAATACATTGAAAATGACATGTTGAAATCAGTGAAATTAATAAATATCAGGAGCATTCAGTAATTCAACAATAAAATCTACTCACATAGTTGAACCATGATATTTCTCTATAATTACTCTTGTGCAAATCGCACAAGCTCAACGTCATCGCATATTTATTTGGAAACTATGTTAATTAACTCCAATTGGCACTGGCTTTTGATGAAATATTCAAACATTCGTACATTTTGTAGGCACACGCTATTTCGACCACCCTGTAAATTATTTTCGAAAATTCGATAGACCTGTTCATGACTTGATTCTTAAGGTGCGATTCTGTGAAATTTCACATTTTCAGCTGTTACTGTCTGAGTTATGCTTTTTTCGGAGTGGTGCTGTAACTGTCAAATTTTTCAGACAAAAATTAATATCTCGAAAATTAACAAATTTGAGTATAGGCATTGTTATACAAAGTGGGCCTAAAATGTGCTGAGAAATTAAAAAATGTAATAAAATGCAGGGTGTTCTATTTGAAATAAGGAAGTTGCCCTCAACTTCCGGTATAACAGAAAGGGACCGAAAGTTGAGAATATTTCAGTTGAGAAGGACATTTTGTAAAAACCACTACCACAAAATTTCAAGTTTTCGTTTTGAATCGTTCTCCATATATTCCTAACGAACGCTCGTCATGAAAGACCCTGTATATTGTCGTTGATCAAACGATTTATTTTCTCTGATGAAGCGACAGATTTTTTAAACATTTCTCATCTTTCATCGTTTTTAATGTTTATAAATTCACGCCATGTTATTTGTAAACCTTATTTTGGTGAGTTTTTTCCACATGTTCTTTTACTTTATTGTTTGCTTCAATTTTTATTTCTAGATAGCGGGTCATGTTTAGACACATCAACAATACATCAACTGTTCCTATGCTGAGATCATCCACAGGGAGAAACACTGGTTTAACCGAAAGTTCAAAGACGCTGCATAGATGTTGTCCAATGACTCCTTCAGCCAAGCTAGCGTAGAGGTACAAAATGAATGAAAACCTTTAATCAAACGCAAAAACTGTCAAATATTGTAACTTTTTGTTTAAAATGGTCTGTCACGAAACTTAATGTCACAAACCAAATTGTATGCGGGCGAAGCCGCGGACAACAATTAGTGATGAATCAAGAATAATTCAACAGAAAACTCAAGTTGGATAACTCTCTCTCTCCAAATAATGAAGGAGAATATTGATGTTTTTAGGATGCACATCAGTGAAAATTACATTGCAGGTGAATTTTATGTATATTCAATACTTATGTTTTCTCAGTTAACTCTGAAACTTGATTACAATTTCAGTCGTCATCAATTTGATTTGAATACCTCGATGAGTAGCTGCTGTTCACATTTCGCTTTTGAATTTCCTCTTTTGCCATCAGAAAATCGACATCCAAAAACATCATCCTTCGATTCTCTGCTGCAGACAGGATAAGTTAATTACGATTCAATTTCTACTGAAACATTCGATAATGTACTAAATGGAACATTTTAGCGATTACTAACCCAACTCTATCTGAAGGCAGGAAATGAGTTTGCGATATGAGCATCAGTTTGCCCTCAGATGATTTTGAATATTCAGTCGCGTAAACCGTCTTAGTAACCTTTAGGATGTTTTTTAGAATGTTAGAAATATGCTGGGCATGAATTAATAATAGTAATAATAATAATTATCGACTTTATTCATCGACAAGAGTAATAACATACAAAAGCAAACATAACGATGAAAGGCAAAGTACAGCTTGAGCTGTTTTTCAAGTTAACCTAATTAAAAGGACACAAATATACACAGAGATTCAAAAAGTTAACTTATAAAAGAATATTTGAAAGAGCAAAACTGCAATAACATATCACAACAGAGAGTATTAACAGTATCCAATTGAACTATCCAGCTGATTTCAAGCGCAGTTTTAGTTTCTTTTTGAAGTTATTCAACGTGTAGTGTCTGAACTCACTGGGAAGTGTATAATAGAGGACAACTGAATTATACAGTGGTTTTCTTTAATGTCCCCCCGCCCCTTTTATTTTTTGAACGGGTCAAATAAAAAAATTAAAATTTGGGATAATGAAATTAATGCATGAATACTTTATTTTGAAGTGATATTGACCGATGAAATTTTCAAGATGGCGACTGAGCGCCATTTTGTTGAGTTGACCCGTTCAAAAAATAAAAAGGGGGGACATTAAAGAAATGCACGGCATATGAAATTTCGAGTGAAACAAGTTGTGGAGCATTTGGGTATGATAAATTAACCACGATGTCTGCTTTTAGAGTGATTCTGTCTTTCAAATGTTACATATCTTTCAAATAAATCAGTACGTTTCCATCAAGAGATAAATTTGAGTCTGAGCCAGCCAGACTCCTCAAATTAGGCTGAGACGTGATCAAAATTTCTCACACCATACATTTCAATACTGCCAGGTAAATGATTTAACATCTCAAGACCATTATACTGTTAAAAATATCCCCTAAAAAAATAACACTGGCCGCCGCTGGTTGTCATTAATCAATTGTGACGTGCTCAACTCTACGTGCGCTCGTTGCCGTTCTAGACGTGGCATTGCTTCGAGAATAAAGCTACCGTCTTCGATGGAATTCCTGCGAATTTTCTATCGCTTTCGTTTACCGCATATAAACGCTACCCACGAGCATGTCGATATAGTGAAGTTTCTCGAACAGTGCAGTGCAAAGCGATCTCATAAGACAATAGACATTTGAATAACAGTTTAGTTAAAGTGTTTCGTAGTAGTAACAGTAAAATAAAGTTGAGTTTGATCACTCTACACCGTAGTCAATTATTATTGAAACCACACAGAAAACGTAACAATACTATAAGGAGTCTTTGACTAGCGTACAGGCTGTTATGGCTAATTTCAGGTTTTCAGCTTGACGAAGGGCATAATTAATGGAATAGCCGCAACTTGAAATGCACATTCTGTTCCCGGACGAAACTAATTTTCCGAGGAATACCATTCATAATATCCATAACAATCATTTATGGGCGGAAGAAAATCCCTATGCCATAAAAGAAACCCATTTCAATCCCGAAACTTCGGGTAATGTATGGCCATGAATTGGTCCACTTTATTGGACCATTCTTATTGCCTAAACTCTCGACAGACAGTCTCACTTCAACAACCACTGCCGCTGCTACTCGGAAATATTCCCTTGGCATGATGGTGCATCGTGCATCACACATTTCAGTTTAGTGATTCACAAACCATATTGTTGGATTGGCCGTGGTTTGCCTCAATAGTGGCCACCAAGGTCTCCAGACCTCAATAGCTTATACTCCTTTTTACCCATATGTGGGCATCTAAAGATGCTATAGTACACAAGTTCAATCAACACTAAAGAGAAATTACAGTACAGAAGTGTTCTGGGTCTATCATAGCCTTGGATGTGCCTTCACGGGCTGGAACATCGGCCTTCTCATTGACCCTGTGACCTTGTCCGGGTACCCAAGCTAGAGTGACCCTATTTTGTGTACTTAGCTCCTCTATTGCGCTCAGACAACTTCTCACCAGTCTTGAGGAGACTTGAAATGAGGTGAAAGCCTTGATTGCCATCTGGCTGTCGGAGAAAATGTCAATGGTTTCATTTGTGACCTTCTGCGTGATCAATTCCCCTATACAGAGTTCGATAGCCGCTACTTCTGCCTGGAACCCAGTTGCATTATGTCCGAGGTTGAGTGCGATTCTCGTTTTTGCTCTGCCTTCGTATATACTGGCTCCCACTCCTTTTTGAGTCTTTGAGTCATCTGTTTGATTGATTGAATATACTTTATTGTCTGAAGAAAAAATCTTGTTGACAAAGTTAGTGAATGAATATAAAAGGATACATAAATGTCCTATGAATATAGAAATATAGATAAAATATAATGTAAACCAAAGTATAAAAGCATTGAATAAAAAACCACAAACAATGGTTGAAACATACACACACATAAAAATGCTAGGTTAAAAATGATCGGTATAGAACTCATTGAAACTGTAATAGGGTCTACTACTCAAAATTGAATTTTTTTGCATGCTCTGAAGAGTTTTATAGTGATGAGTGGTAACCTCAAGTTTCGCTACAGATAAATTCTGAAGTGAACATTTGAAAGTCATGATATTTGTTTTAGAAATATTAAGGAAGAGTAGATTGGAAACCACTCTTGTATATCATGAGCTATTGTCTCATTGAGTATATCTATACCTTTACTATGCCACAATACAGTGGTGTCGTCAGCGAAAAGAGTGAATGTTCCAGATATACTTATGTTCATCAAATCGTTAAATCGTTAATATACAACAGGAACAATATGGGACCGAGAACCGATCCCTGTGGTACACCAGTATTTATTTCAATACTGCTTGAACATTTATTCGTTTTCACAATCTGACTGCGACCTTTGAGATATGACTCAAACCACCGTAGTGGTATCCCTCTACATCCATAGATATTCAGCTTACTTAGCAGTATTTTATGATCAACGCAGTCAAACGCTTTTTTAAGGTCACAAAATATTACTGCAGCAGCATCTGCATCATTCATATTGGAATACACCTCAAACAGGAAAGAAAATATTGCATCATGTGTGCTCTTGTTGCTTTGGAATCCAAATTGATGTTTCCTTATAATGTTATGGCGAATGAGACATTCATCGAGTCTTTTCTTAACTAGTTTTTCAATTCAAGTTTTTTCCGCTTTTACCGGTGGACCGTTTTGCTAGTCCTCTCTACTTGGTATGATGATTTTGAAATCTTTTTGAAAGTTTCACTAGGGAACTGTGTTATCCACGGGCATACCTAGTATTGGATCTGCCTTCAGTTCATTGTACAGATTCAAATATTCTGCACCGTGTGACTGGCTGATTGGGGGTTTGTCCCTGCATTAGCCTGTCTGTCACCAGTCGAGCTTTTCTTTGTATGTAGATGTACAATGGTGCCACGTTAGTTATGTTTATGTTGTTAGTTGTTGTAATGTTTTAATTTTTCAATTAGATCACTATAATATTTGTTTAGTTAATGTTTCTTTCACTCAAAAATAGCGCGTCACAGGAAAATCTCAAGAGAGAGATCTTTTGTTAGAAATTGTACGGGGGATTCAAAAATAGTTCAACGTACCAGTTGAAAATATCATGCTACTATTGAATTGGAGAATTAATTTCGTATCAAACAGGTATCAGGTATCAATCACTGTCTAACTAATTCAAGTCCCATTTTCCATGTCATCCATTTGGCAGCAAATAATAAACCTCACAACATTCTCAAACAGTGAAAAAACCACTATTGAAATAACCAAATAAGCTTGAACTATACTCTGTTAAAGAATACTATCAAACCCTGAATTAGAAGGCTACCTTATAAACATTGTTTTCTTTCGACTGGCTGTTACATCATTTTATGTGATGTGTGAATGGAAACTTCTTCAGACTTGCTTTTCTTGTTGAAATCAATTCTCGAAGTCATGATCAAATGTCCATTGTTTGTTCTATTCATTATCATGGTCACGGCAATTTTATCAGTTGAAGGAGTTATAACGACTCGAGCAAACACGCGGAGTGTGTTTGTTGAAATACTAGTTTTTCATTAGAGCTGCCCAGCTTCAGGAAAGTTTCAAAAAATCACGCAGACGCAACAAAAAGTAAACAGACAAAAATTTTGCTCAGTCAGTGCGAAGATGCGGAGAGAGAGTTTTCGAGATAATCGCTAAAACTAATTTATGTTTGTTCGGTGCATGTTTCCGTGAATTAGAGGGCCGTTATTTCTGAAGTAAGCGTGTAGACTTTCGCCATTTTTAGTAAACTTTTTAATAAAGAAAGCTTACGACTCGCCTGGGTGCTAGGATAATTAAAACCGCTAATGGACACCGTGCAGGAAGAAGCTAGGTAAGAAGTTTAATATTCATAGAAAGCCGCAGCGGAATTGAATATTGTATGAGATTTGATACTCTGATTTCGTATCCATTTAATTCTTTGTTCATACAATTATTGAGTATTCGATAAAAATTCAGTACCTATGAAAAATGTACGTTTCCAAACGAAAGTTCAACACTACTACAGTAGGTACTTTTCATCATGGTTGGTCGAATCTTGCAACTAATTTCATTTAAATGAATGTTTTACTTTTTTATTCCTTCACTTCTGACAAGACCTCTTCAAGTTGATGGATCTGTTTTTGATGTAAAGTGCGTGAAATTTGCTAATGACCTAGGCAAGATTATAATAGATTCCGACCAAATCAATATACAATGGAAATACTAGGCAACAATGACATCTTTGAACCAGTAACTCCCTTATTTTCAATCAAGATAACACAGTGATTATTCAGTTTTGTGATAATCAAAAACTGTAACCACCAGTCAAAACTTTGGTTTATCATGCAGTTATTGAGTATTCGATAAAAATTCTGTATTAAAAATGCACGTTTCCAAACGAAAGTTCAACAGTACAACAGTAGGTACAACAGTAGGTACCTTTTATCATGGTTGGTCTTGCAACTGATTTCATTCAAATGAGTTTTATACTTTTTTATTCCTTCACTTCTGATAAGACCTCTTCAAGTTGATCTGTTTTTGATGTAAAGTGCGTGAAATTTGCTAATGACCTAGGCACGATTATAATAGGCTCCGACCAAATCAATATACAACGGAAATGCTAGCCAGCAATGACATCTTTGAATCAGTAACTTCCTTATTTTCAATCAAGATAACACAGTGATTATTCAGTTTTGTGATAATCAAAAACTGTAACCACCAGTCAAAACTTTGGTTTGGTGAGCACGACATATCTGTGAACCTGAGAGTCTTCCTGAAGAACTCAATCAACTGAAAAATATCTTCGAAGGAAATGGGTACAGCGGAGGAGAATTCGAGCCGGCCATACGACCCAAAAGAGAGAACATCACAGCAACCCCAGCTAGGCTGGTCAAGGGAAAAGCTTTCCCTAGACCAGACCCGTCTAGGGACCCGTGGGTTGGGCTACCTAGAGGGCGCCTCCCCAGGTGGCGGATAGGGGAAAGGCCAGGTGACTGGAAGCCCTGTCCGAAATGCCAATGTGGCCTTAAAGACGGGGTCGCCGAACTCCTGGTCAGTGGCAGAAATAAGTAGGATGAGGGAAACCAAAACTCTTCAAAAGCCTTTGCGAAACATGCCACCGTGGACCAGCCTACCCAAGATGAGCCGTAAGGAATCGCGGCGACAGCTCAATGGCCGCAGGGTGATATGCGGTTACGAAAGATCTCCTTGGAGAACCGGGCGAAACCTCATTGTAATCAGCCTTTCTCCGGTAATGCGGTGCTCTGCCAGAGTGACCAACTCTTCCCCTGCTACTCGTAGGAACACACACGAATGAAACAAACACAAAAACAGACACAGAGAAAACAAAAACCAATCCCGAGGCTAGACAGAAATGCTCACCTCAATCTATGGTGGTGGCTGGGAATAAATAGAAATGTCCACCACAATCTACCGCTTTGAATGAGGCTGGACATGGCAGATCACCTCGTGAAATAAAACATAGGTCGAGGCGTAAGCGCATTTGCGGCGCCAAGGCCAAAAGGAGGAAGAGAACGATAGAGGCAGAAGTGGCAGCAACTATAAGTGCACCATTCTCCTCCACTCAATCTTCAACAGCAAGATACTTCCTGCGGCGGGCGCCAAGAGCTCCGCCTTGAATAAAGGCAAGGAACCGGCTGCCCCTGCAGGAAAGCGACCTTACTTGAGCACCGCCACGAAGGGAACCCCAAGAAGATTGAAGAAGCCGCGCAACGACAGTAATGTCGCGGCACTTTTCCAAAACTATAACAAAGGTCGCCGTGAGACACCTCAAGGTTGCCAAAGAGAGTGTGTGTTCGGCGAGTCTTGGTCTTCACTTACCGATATAAAGGAGATGTCTCCTAGTGAACTGTCCACCTTCCTGAGAAGGACAGAATGGACGATGACCTACGAGGACAACTCCTCGGGAGGATGTATAATGGGTCACATGTGGCCCAAGTGCTATGGGTCTACACTCACCTTCCATTCTCTACAGATACAGATCATAGACCGAATTGAAAGAATTTCAGATAACCACGACGTAAAACCAATACTTGAGCCAGCAAAAACTATCAGACAAACTCCAAGGTCAACTAAGGACTCCAGAGAACCCTTAGCAAACCCAGGGTTTACTGAATTCCTTGCAGCTGCGAAATTCAAAATCATAGGGATAATTCCAATAAAAGAGAAGAGGCAATGAACATTATTGAAATCTGGCTACCTATTCTCAAAGGTACACAAATAGGGTCAGGCAAACCAAAACCAACTTGAAAAAGGTTAACCCCGGAAGAAAAGAAAAAACCGGGAAAAAAAAAAAAAAGCCAAGGCCAAAAAACCCGAAAAATAGATTCCACACAGTTATATCTGGCCGTTAGAGTTTACATTTTATGATCAAACATCAAAAAATTCTTGATGTACTATACATTGACGTGGATAATCATCCGTTTCCATTGCAGAAAAGTTTTGGGTGATGAGTTTGACAGAAATTTGAACTCCAAAAAGCACATCACGATGCTTTAGTATTTAAGCCTCGAAATGTTGGCTACATTTCCAGCAGTGGAAATTATATACTATACTGAAGTGGAGTCAAGGTTTCACTATGATGTCTGTTTCTGGAGTTGGTCAACTAATGCAGCTAAAGTTTTTTTGGCTCTAAAAACATCTTCAGAAAACTCTGGTTTAAGTGATGTAAGAGTCTTGTGAACGTTTCTACAAGAAATTAGAAATAGTGACTTCACCCTGCTTGTACATAATGGAAATTCTTTTCTGAGTTTTTCAAAATAAAAGTCGATATCCTCTCATAGGCTCTACTGAAACACTAGGCACAAAGATTATATCGAGATCCACTAGCTCGAGGGCTATGCTTTCTATGATCTCAATGTTACAGGTCCACGTTTGTTTGACATTTCATTAGCTGAAAATGATCCTCTGGGAGAAAGCAATATTAAGAGCAGATAGTTGTTGGTTCACAGATGGATCAAAAACATCTTCCGGTTCTAGTGCAGGTGTTTTCAGACCCAGGACAGAGATATCAACCTGCCTAGGAGCCTATGCGACTAAAAGACCTGAAAGACCACTCACCATATAAACTAATCGGCTTCGTTGAGAAGCTGAGCCACAATGAACCTCTGCGGGTTGCGGTGGAGAGTCGAATAGACCCACTCACTTTGGACCTAACCTAACATACTAGCTGAAATGAAATAAAGTGAAACATCAGAGAGGTTAAAAACAAAAATTGCAATATTTTCAATGAATTTCTTTGAAACAATTACATACTTGGTGTTACTTCACCATTCCATGGTCCAGAAAACAATTTCAATTCTCTTCATTCTTTAACACTGTTCTCTATTCGAGTACACCCCGTCTTTTTTTTTTCCAGTCCACCCCCATCGCCGTCACTGGACGCGAATACACTAACCTTTCTACTGCCCCCGGTACCGCAAATCATAGTGACCAATGAAGAACGCAGCCGAAGGAATAGCTGTCGAACAACTTCCGAGCAAGATGTCAGTCAAAACAACTCCAGAAGGCCATCATCCATAATCGCAGCTCTTAGAAGACCTTCTCAAGTAGTGGCTCTTTCAGCTGCACATGCTGTCATGAACCAACGGAGGTATATTATGGGGTGAGTTCGACCAAATTGTCAAGAAAAAGTTTATAAGCTTCCATTCACCTTGCAATGTTTTTATGTTAGTTCGGGTCAAATCACATCTGAATTTCGAAGCAGTTATCCTCAACTGATAGATTTGTTTTATAGTAAAGTTAACTGATTTTAAAAGAACAAATAACAATTAATTTTCACATTTTTTCAAGTGAATATTTAATATATAGAATATAAAACCTATTTTCACCATTTATTTCAGATATGTATCCATAAAAGGTAGGTAAAGGTAAACGCGACCACGCGTTGCTGTGGGTAATGTTTTGGTCATTGCAGTAAACAACATAGACGCCATTTGTAAAAAAATATGGCGACCTCCAGATGTTCTACAGATGTTCTACTACCGTAACCCCTTAGTACAATAAAATTATTATTTATGAACGAAGACGGAAACGTTAAAGCTGGTATAAAAATCCACTGGATTGGGATTTGAAGGGGAAGGACTTTGAACACGATTGATTAAAATTTTCGTACAGTTGATATTAAATGAAANAAACTTGATAAAAGATTAGTTACCGTTTTTGCAGGCTTTGTTCAACCCATAGAAATCTACAGGGTGGTCGAGTGTACCATTTCAATCGAAATTAAACGACCTCATGCATTTATTTTTATGATATTTAGTATGTTATAAAAACATCCCTAGACTTTTCCGATGTGTGTATTTATAGATATAGCAGAAGCTAAACGAATTGAAAACTGTAGCCTTCTGAAGGGTATGGTAGAATCTGACGGTATCATTAAAATACGTGGAAACAGGACCATTTTTCCTTTAAACTTACCAGTTAAAATGGTTGCTTCAAGAATATTTCCGGTGATCTTTCTGATGACCAAACGCGTACTGTTGAATAATTGAGAAGAACATGCTATTATAGCACATTGAAATGAGAAGTGCAAAATAATTTTTAATAGAGGTCAAATAAAAATAGTGAAAAGAAAATTTGTAAATTATTGAGAAAGTGTGGGGAGCCTTGTACCATTTTGTCATAGATATATTAATTAACTTTCATAACTATGTGATACTTACATGTATATATTTTCAATAAAGAGTTTTGAACAATAAAGCACAAATAATTAAAAAGCAGGAATACTTTCAATGTACTATCTTCACTATAATATGAATTTAATTTACAATTAGTCTAAGTAACACGTGGCCAGCTATGCTAACACAAAAAATTTAAAAAGTGAAAACAATTGAATTTCACGGTATTTCGTTCACTACAAAATGAATTGAATGCTATTGAATTGTAACTTGTATGACACGTTTGTAGGTTTAACATAGCAGCGCCATCTATTGATTACTTACTCAATCCAGTAAACAAATATCGTCATCTGTTAAAGTCAACAGATAATTGTGAATGTCAAATAATAGACAAATAATTTACAATAAAATAATATTGCGACTGAAAGTTGAAATGTAAGCTATCCTATCTTCCAAGTTAGATCAAACTGCATACGGTGTGCAAATTTGATTGGAATCAGTTGAATAGTTTAGGAGTCCATCGCGGACAAACAATGTGATACGTAATTTATATATATTAGATTTGAACTTGAATTGAGTACGGACCTGCCTTCGACGCCGATACCCCTTCTCGCACTCCAGGTTTCACATGCACGCGTCTATAGTTCTACCTATGCAAACTTCGCTGGTTTTTACTTCTATGGTCGTTACCAAAAAATAAAAAGAAATACGTTGTTTCACCTCCAAAAACCTCCTTTCTGAACTGCTGGGATGCTTATGATTTTCAATTGATTTTCAGATTATTCAATGATCATGGTGACGCTTTAGCATCCAATGAGGACGTCAATGACTCGGAGTCTATTAAAAATTCACGAATGAACCAAAAAGTTGGGGAGTGAGTTCAACACAGCCATTTGAATGTTTCCCAAACTTCCAGATTTTTCTTTCAGTGATGCCCTTTCAAAAGTTTTGTCGGCCCTGTATGGAAAACTTTTAGTTGTACTAGGAATAGCGTTTCCAGTTACCGAGATCATTTCGTCTGAGGTTCAGCCGTTTTTCTACCAGGGGTTCTACTTGTACCTGTATATAGGAAGTTTGGGTTTTGTCGCATATTTATTTGCCGCTCCAATCAGAGAGAGAGTGTTATTGGAAATACTGAAACTTCAGAGTAAGTTTCAAAGATGTCGAAAAACGCATGAATCTTCGGGTAACTATTGTCTTTTCAGTTCGATTTTCTCAATTTTTCAGGTAAATCAAAGATAGAACCAATCAAGAAACCATCGGAACCCCTTCCAAAATTTGGGAGTTTCTATTTGAGGGTTGGGGCCATTGGTAAGTGTCATTTGTGTACAGGGTGCTCCTTTGGGAATTGTAGGACTGAAATTGTGAGATATAAAAAGAACAGTATCGGACTGAGCAACTTCTGTAACCCGTACCATGCAATGAAATAAAATATACCGCGAGAGATGTATATCAGTGTGTATTAATGTACCTGATCAGAGGCGGATTAGGGAAAGGGCTGGTGGGACTACTACTCTGTTTGTGCAAGTATTGTCTTACAGACAATACTTGCACAAACATAATGATATTATTCTTCATATTTTTTGTTGGCAATTAATTTTCGATATATGACGAGAACGAATCGTTCCTTTTATTTGAATTATAATTATGGGTTTCTGCTTCTTCGTTGCCCAGGACCTCCAGTCCTCCAAATCCAGCTCTGTAACTGATTAGGTAGATTAGGAGTTGAAATGAATGACTATCCTTAATTTTGATGAAAAAGGACTTTATATAATTTCATTTTTGTCAAGAAGTGGATATTTTGAACAACTACCTGACAGTTGAATACAATTTTCATTGTTGGTTTGCAGATCCTCAATCAGAAAATGCACTGACAATCACTCAAAAACGCTCAGTTTGATTTTTCGATAACAACTTTCCAAAAACCTGAGTTCAAGATACTTCAGTATGAACCAAGATATACTAACGAACTATATCGTATTTTCAAAAAGTCGAACGTGAAAGTAGTCTTCGAAACTTGTTGGAATAAGCTGTGAGGACGTGATAAAAATATATCGGTCAGACTAAGCGAGCCGTTGAAACTCGATTCAAAGAACACGCAGCACATATCTCATTTTGAAGACTGAAAAAATCCAGTGTTGCTCAACACGCCTTGAAGAAAGGCAATAGAATGAATGGAAATTGTCTGAAATTTTATCAACAAATGCGTTTTGAGGCAATAAAAATGTATTCAAAGATACGATTTCGTTTTTGAATATCATAATATTCATCACTGATAAAAATCTTCTCAACAAAAAATTCAAATGACTCAAACAATAGATTTGTTCATAACAATTTTTCAAACAATGTTAACGATGGCAAAATTACACGAATGGGGCTTCGATTTGCTTTCGCATCCACCGTATTCTTCAAATCTAGCCCCTAGCGACTTCATTCTCTTCTCAGGCCTCAAGAGAATGCTCGCTGAAAAGGAATTTAGCTCCAATGCAGAGGTAACCGTCTAAACTGAGGTCTATTTGGAGTCTGAAGACAAATTTTGCCATGAAAATGGTATTGAAAAAATTGTATGACCGCCAAAATCGTTGAAGGCAACTATATTGAATAGTAAAATGAACTTCCTTCAGATTTTTCAGCCCAACTGTTTTGTTCTCTCGTTCAAAAGTTAGGAAAGGAGGCTTTTTACGTCCACACTGTATAATTATGAATACACACTCGCTTTTTATGCACACACTGTATAAACTCATATTCTCGATTTATCAGAAAACATCTCCAGTCCCTACCTACATTGACTATTTAATGTTTTCCATATTTTTCAGTTCCTCCACCAAAAAACAAGATTATTCTGCAATCGTTTATGAATGGAGTTAGGCGGCCATCATAATTAATCTCTAAAGGCAATTATCATTCCGATTCATGCAACAATTATTGTAAATTCCCCTAACTACATTCGGGCAGCAATTTCGCAGTAGCCTTCTGTAATAATCCAGCAATTTATTCTATCATTAAAGCTACTGAAACGCAGTTGAACCCTATCGATTGACTTCATTGCCGAACTAGCGATGGAAAAGTTAACTGTGTGGCTGTTGCAAACCCATCGGTGGATTCTCGATTTTCAAATTGAAAGAAATTGAGCGTATTGCGAAATGAAATATTGTGATGAACCCAAAAACATGGGTTCGTTAATGGAAAATCTACGTTCTCAGCCTTTTTTGACTCCACTGAAGAGATTTACACAAGCATTTCATAGAGTTTGCTTCGAAATTTTGCTACACAAACTCTCCCAAATTGTTTTTCAGTTATTCATCGAATAGAGGACGAAGAGTTATTCTGTGGAAAAGAACAATGAAATATGCTCTGGGTGGGATAACGTTAAACATAGGCGTTCCCCAAGGTTCCATTTTGGGCCCATTGCTTTTTCTGATGTGTATCGACGATTCACCAAAAATACTTCTCAGGCCTCCACAGTAATGTTTGCAGACAATATACTTTTTTTAGTAGATCAACAGACAAGTTGAACCATACATTGGTCATAAACTGATATATCAGTATGCATTTCTCTAGAATTCGTGAGGTTTTCTTTTCCCGAAGACTTCATGATGATCTCTATCCTGACTTTTTCAGTGTAGCAAGTAACAAACATCTAAGCTGGTTTGCAAAATTATAATAAGTTGCCATCAGGAATGAAAAATAACGAGAACTCCGTAATATTAAGAGAATTGTGTTTACTTTTTGTACGATATTAATTTCTGAGTAATAATTTGATGGTCTTATCAAAATATCTATTAAATTTTTTTATCATATCGACTTTGAACGGAGTTCACTTGGAAACATGTTGTTAAACAATTACAATGATCTGTTTGTATTATGTTATTTGATATTTATACAGGGTGTAACTAAATAAGTGTGATACATTGAAGGAGGTGATTCTTCATCGAAAAAAAGATAGGATCTTTCATATAAAGAAATTTCATTGGAGCATCCCTTGTTAAGATACAGCCCCTTAAAGGGTGTACATACAATTTGTATAACAATTTTTTTCACAAGCACTAAGAAAGTTACAATATTGAAATTGACCAGAAGTTTTGTACTACTAAAAGGACACTCAGCCAGAAATTCATTTGGTTTACCCCATGGTTGTAAGGGATGGAAAACGCAACCCCAAAATTAATTTCCAATGTAACTTTATGTCTTATCATTTGTTTACCATTCAAAAATGTTGTTGTTCCGATAGCCTGTTTCATTCTAAACAAAAAATGTCTCTTGGATTTTTTGCCCAAAATAAACCAGTTCGCAGCAAAAAATTATTTTAGGAACAACTACAGAGATACATCGTCATGAATTCGAAAATACAAAACTAATCTATCTAGTAGGTCGCTATTAGCCAAGTGACAATTGAATTGGTATGACGCTGTCAGTCTGTGAATTTTAGAAATTGAAATAACACTAATTGTGTGTTGTTGTTCTGTTCTCAATTTGTTAATTTAATAATTCACTTGTTATTGAAATGGCATACACAAATGAGGAAATGGCTGATATGCATTACGTTTATGGTCTGTCGCAGGGGAATGGGTTAGAAGCTTCCAGAATATATGCTGAAATGTATCCTCAACGACAGCATCCTTCACACAGAATATTTGCTCGAACATCAAAACATTTCTGTAGGAAGAAGCTTACTACCCACTCGATCGGTGAATTTTTGAATGACCCAACTGGACTCTCGAGAAAAATATCTGGTTGAGGTAATAGTGAAGAAAAAAGTAATACAGATCATGAAATTATGAAACAACAACAACAACACCAATCAATTGGCGCTCCGGGGCGACTTCATTGATTCCAGTGGCGCATTTGCTTTTTCAGCTGCAGGAAAACCCGGAAAAACCTGCAACACCACAACATCTGAAGATCTTGAGCTGCCGATGTCCCCTCTTTCATAAAACAAAATGTAGGGAGTCTCCAGAGGCCCCAACAAATTCAAGACATCGCCAGAACACTCAGTGACATGACTATCGTCAAACTTGAACCAGTCTGTTTCGTCTTTGACCAACGCGTAATAATGACCAGATTCAATGCTAGAACCACAGTGAACAATGACTGCATGAAGATTATGATAGTGGTCTGCTAGATTGAAGTGTTAATCTATTTAGAACCTTCGTAAGAGTTTGGTGCTTCCGTCAGAGGTTGAGTCATGGTTGAAGATCATCAGTGTTATTATTAGATTGGTGCCTCAGCTATACTTGTTTTCTTATAACAGTCAGTTAGTTTGGCGCATGTTTGGTAATACAGTTGATCATCACCCATTAAAAGTTCTATTTTCGGATGATTCAACAATAAGCTTTGCACGTACTGGTCATCAATCATATTAGGAAACGCTAGTTGAAGTTTCAGAAAATCACATACGTTTTTGCTACCTCTTGAACATGTACTACAAAGTGAACAAGTAAGGATTTTTCCAGCAAAAAATCTACAAACACAAGACGAGATAGACTCCAGAGCGGATTTTTTTGCTCACGAAGAGTATTCAACAAGAACCCCAAGAATTTTGAACAATCCTCTTGTTGACTCCAGGAAATCGGTTGGTGGAAAAGATGATACATTCTTACGAAACTGCAACTGCATGAACAATTGTTTGAGTTTGGTGAATAAGTAGAAAACATTCTCGTTCATCGTTAAAACTTCGTTCTTGAAATTCTTCGTCGTGAACAACACATGTAAAATACTATTCATGTAGCAACTGTTTTCTAAATTATCTAATCTATCGAGGTTGTATTATTATATTTGTCATTAATACTTCACTACTGTATACTTTTCTGAAAACCAAAAGTTCAGTTTGGAAATATTCGCCTCTTTGCCTGTCCTGTACCTAATTTTATATAGATTTCAATCAATTACCGGTGGAATATGATGAATAGATTGATTCGAAGAACTGAAAACTCCCGAGCGGAGTTAATCCAGTTCTCACTTAACTGATTCATCTGGTACAAACTTTCTGAAAAATGCCAAGTAGGAGTTTTTGTGTACATCTATACTGAATTTGATAAAAATCTGCTCGTATTAAATCGGTGATAAACTCAAAAGCAGTAATTAACGTTGGAAATTAATTTATTGACCACTCCCACAAAAAAACTCCTATTGAATTGTAGAGAAATGAATAACTCGATTTCTGAAAATATGGCTTATTTGCCATTGCCCTAAGTGGACTGCTCAAAAAATAGGGTGAGCGTTAAAATTTCGCGGTATACGAACATTTGCATCAAATTCTGTGTAAAACATGGGATTAGGCGCTCAAAACCCTTGAAATGTTAAAATTGGCATACAGTGATTGTACTTGAAGTAGGAAAAATGTTCACAAGTGGTGCAAGTTTCTCACAGAACTTTGAAGAATCAAGAATATGTGTGGCAGCGAAGTTCGTGTCAAAATTACTGAATTTTAACCAAGAAAACATGAATATCTATCAGAAATTGTTGAATGACGTCAACGGCTATCCAAATTTGCTTGAAAGAGTCATAACTGATGACGAATGAGTATATGGAAACCCAAGTCCAATCGTCCCTATGGAAAAGTCCAGGAAAGCCAAAACCAAATGAAGCACGTGAATTTTTATCAAATGTCAAGGATTTGCTCACTGTTGTCTTCGATTACCATGTCGCAGTGCATCAGGAGTTCTTGCTACATGGTCGTACGGTCAATAAGGAATATTATCTGATGTAACCCAAGCACTGGCATATTTAAAGAGACATTCGGATGGAAGGAAAGAACAAATACCTGCACAAAGGCGTTCTAACCATATAAAAGATACAACGTTAAGTTTGAGTAGAGCCATGAAGAAGATAGGACATTCTACTTCCGAACACGTAACAAACANGAAATCTACTTTCATATTTTATTTTTTGCAAATTCGATCCAATTCTTAATAGTATCTTGGTTTATATAAAAATAAAACTTTGTTTCAATATTTACGAAGACAGTCATTCAATTCTCATTTCATAATTAACCCCCAGCCTGTTAGTAATATTTTATTTCCTGGGTCCTGGTACTCTTCCTTGTTGAATGATAGAATATTTTTTAGCATTTGGAATTGGAAGTATGGTGTATTCAGGCCTGGAATTCGGGCAGTATTTTGAAGGAAGGAATAATCCTGCTTGCTATTCCAACATCATCCAAGCTATAACGCCAGCAATGAGAATTGTCCTCACTTTAGTGCAGGTTCAATTCATATTTCTCAATAACAAGGTAAATTCCAGACAAAGTAATACAATTCTATTTCAGCTCTTTTTCGGCAAAAATGTTTTTTTTTCAAATCGTAATCGAAGATATCTTAGATATAGGAAGTAGTGACAGAAAATGCGTTGATGAAGACTGCTAATTTGGAAGCAAATTTCATTTCTATGGTTTTTATTCACATTATGATTTTTTAGGATTTCGAATACAATAAACATAGGAGACTTGCTAGATTTGGGTTTATGCATATGATTGCTTGCAATTTATGTGAATGGCTTCATGTATTAGTGGAAGAAACCAAACATGAGATAATTCATCTCGAAGGTGAGAACGAGTTGTTTGTCTTCAATATGGAAAAAATGTTTTGCTGCATTTACTTCATTATCAAGTTGTGTATGCACTAAATCTGACAGTACATTTCTTGAATTCTATTAGTTCGGACTTCCATCGTCTACTGTGAGTATACTTCGATTCGAAATCTATGAAAGAACAAACAAAATTACAACGGTGGAAACATCTGCTGTATACCGAATACCCACTCACAAGGGAAAGTATTTGAATCACGAATCCAACCACCATCAATCCACCAAAAGAGGAATCATCAAGACTCTAGTAGACCGTGCTTTCGGGCTCTGTAATACGAAGGAAGATCTCAAGCAGGAACTAGGCATCATCAAACAAAACAGACTTCGGCTAGAAGACAGTAAGAGCCTTGCAAGGAAAATAAGCCGTCTCAACCAGTCCCTGTCGGAAAAGGATAGGAAGAATTAGCTCCAAGTACAACATCAGAACCTGCTTCAGATCCAGAAACACCATCCGTAGCAGCCTCACGAAAACCAGGCCATCAAACGCGCCCCCAAGTTTGGCCCCAAGCTGGCATCATCCACAGAGAGGAACACTGGTTCAAGAGGAAATTCAAAGAAGCTGCATATACGTTGTCCAACGATGCATTCAGCAAAGATAGCGTAGAGATATGCAACATATAGAAATCGGTAATCAAGCAAAAAAAGGGCAAACAGTCAACTGCCTTTAAATCAGTAAAGCGGAGAGAGGTAAGAGGAGATAGGTGAACACGTTCTGATGACCTATGAATAGTCCTCTCGAAAGAATAGTCCAGTCATGACCCGAAGACGATTGTGGATACTAACAATCCAAACCTCGTGAATAAACTTGGTTTGAATTCTTTTTCAATTTCTCGATTGATTTTCAATTTTTCGCTCATTTTTATTTTTATTCTTTTTAATTTCTTTTTACTTTGTAGTAATTTTCATTTCAAAACTTGATTATTTTATTCTGTTTGTTGTATTTTCATTTCAGGTTTGGTTTCTTGATATAATAATTGATATTTCATCTATTCATTTTACGTTTTTTTTGTTCTTCCTAGAATTTGACTCATAGTATAATCATATCAGACAGTGGAAGCCCGAACTGATGAAATTCGCCACGAAACATTTTCAACCACTTCCAAACACTAAATGGATTAGTTTTCAACTGAACTTCAAAGTTATTAGCATATGCAAAACGTTTTAATGTTTGGGTTTTTCAGAACATTCCCAGAATGCAAGTCGTTTGACTTTGAGTAAAAAATACTGCAGAGGAAACGTCATGGGATCCCTAGTGACAAACTCGAGTCCTTTTTTATTTCCTTGCACCATAGAGTACAGCTTGATATGTGCTGTTATCCTATTTGAAATGTGGAAACAAGTGGGAGATGAATCGAAAATCATAAATGAGAAGAAGAATTCCAGGAATCTTACATCTTCTACCAAGGCAGCCAGCCAATTTCATTTCAGTAGGTTGGTTTTTCATAAATTTTATAGATATATGATGTTGCATCACGAGTCGATAGAAAGGAAAATTATAGTATTTGTGATAAGACGTGATATGACAATTTCGGAGACAATTGTACTTATCAGAAGCGCTTTCATATAATTGAAAATGTACCTAAATATGACATAATTACAATTCTAGAAACAGTTGAAACATATAACGGTGAAGTAAACATCCATGATTGTGCGAAAGCTATTTTCCGGGTGTTTTGGCCGTACTCTGCAGGTTTCTATCCTCGAAGTTCCGTCTACTACTGCGGTGGACAATAGCAAAATCGATGTGATAACAATCATAGTGCCCGAGTTGTTACCGTTATTACGACCGCAGTAACTGAGATGGTGGTATTTAACTCTGCTTTCATATTGATTTTGGTGAGCGTGGCTTGATTTCCTTCAATTGGATTATCTGACTTCGTCTGTTCACCTCTGAGAACAGGTAGCCAGATTTTATTAATGTTCATTGTCTCTTATTTTCTATTGAAATCATTTCTGTGATTTTGAAGTTTTATTACCTCCCTATACAGTCTTGGATAATAATTTTGAGTTTCATCTAGTACTGCTGTATCTTAAAATGTGATAATTTGAGATCATGTTTGGCTACAGCTGATTTGTCGGTCTGTTCGGGTCGAAATTTTTTTTTATGTTCAGAGGGACGGGTGCCAACACTTCATTTCGTTGTTCCAATGTAGACCGACCCGCAGTTGACAGTTTTTGTTGGCCTAAATATTGGTGTCACATCGTTTTTCTTTAAGATTCTCCCAATCCGGGCTATGACACTTTTAACATAGGGAAGGAAAGCTTTTCCCTTGACCAGCCTAGCTGGGGTTACTTTGGCTTTCTCTCTACCGGGTCGTATGGCCTGCTTGAACTATCCTTCAGTGTATCGATTCGCCTTGAAGAGCACGACGAAAGAACACGATGTATCTGTGAATCTGAGTCTTCAAGAGGAACTCAATCAGCTGAAAATGCCTTCCCTTATTCAAAAGAATACCTCAGAACAACCAGAAATTTAGCAGCCACTTGTTGATGAGTCAATTTGAGCATCTTATCACAACAAATCATTATTTCAAAATCAGCAAACCAGTGAAAATTCCAATTTTTAAGTTATATGATGGTTTGAGAATCGTTATTATTTTCTTGGATGAAAAAAATCTCAGATGAATTTTGAAATAGCCGAAAACTTTTGAGATTTTTGTTCATTTCCAAAATTATCTTGAGAATTTCGTTTTTTTAGGCAATCGAGTAAAGTTAGTTCAGGAACTGGAATCGCTTACACTAATACTATTTGATGAACAGCTATAAAACTCAAATATATGAACTGAATGATTGACCGACTTTAATGCTGATAACATCCTTTGAATTTTTGGAGTGAGATAGGACTTTGAATTTTAGTATTTTTTGGAATTTTCTCAGTCTATAGTAAATACATCTAGTCTGAATAGTTTCAGTTCGTCTGAATTGTTGAAAATTTGAAAAAAATTATTTGCAAATAAGAATCATTTTAGCAATTTCTTGCTGCCCGAAATTTGGCTGCAGAAGGTTACTGAGAACCAGAAGGATAGCAACTGATGATATACCCCTTTGAGAAATGGATAAATCCATAATAACATATTTATTTCATGCTTCAAAGTTTTGGAAACTGCAAACTCTTCGTTAAGAGATCTGATTTGGACAGAAAATTGGCTTTCCTTCAAGTTGAAAATATTATTCGGTGTTAGTGATCTAGTGTTATCACATGCTTACAAACCAGGTAGTCTGGACTCCCTCACCAGATTTTTGGAGGTAAAAGTCAGACAGAAAAATACTTTACAGAAAACATACTTGTATGCAGCGAATCTAGAGATTTTTGACTTTGAGCTCATTCAGTTTGTTGAGAAGAGATGATTATTCTTTATACACTTCTGTAATGCAAAACAATTTTCATAATTCGAATAAATTTTTCGAATATAGGATAGAAAAAATAACTTTTGCCTAATTTCTACTAAGATTTTCATTTTTTTCGACTGGTTTTGGTTTATTAAACCACCTGGTTTAATGTTAAATATACCGAAACCGGTCGAATCGAATAAAAATCATAGAAATTAGAAAAAAGTTATTTTTCCCTATCTTACATTCAATATCAATTTCTACAGAGTGAATAGATCATCAGTTGAACAGAATAACACTTTTTCATGATTACATATTACATTTCCAGATCCATTTGGAGGCAGAGTATTGAGCTCAAATGAACATTACACAATAGATTGTTCAAATGCTCACAAAGGGTTGTTTGCCGGAATCGTGGTGAGTTCTAAATCCATCCATCATCTGAGCATATTGTGAAAATAATACCGCAGATTTTCTTCCACAGATAATTGTCTTAACGATAATCTCGTTGATTATGTTTTTCGTTCTGACAAGTTCTGAGAGGAGTGTGACAGTGGCGATTTTCGAGGTGAATACAGTGGAGTTGATACTCTACATCGCAACCACATTTGCTGTTCTAATAGCAATGCTGAAAATGAGGAAGTTCAAGTATGACCGAAAAATTGGTGAGTTGTTTCATATCATTTGCTCTCAGAAAATAATACAGTTCTATTACCAGAGAATCAGGTTCAACGGGGAAGTATATATCCTCTTCATCAACAAAAGGAAGGGTACATGACCTCTTGAAATCTCCTCATCGGTGTTTTAATTGTTTATTTCCACATCAGTCAACGTATCATCGTATCAACGTATCAACTAATCATTCAGATCTATTATTAATCCATCTCACGTTCGGTACCAAAAAAGAAAAATAACTACTCAATACTTTTTTGAAAGACAGATGTATGGTACCAAGACACAAATGCAAATTGAAAGAGGAATGAAAATTTTTTCTATGTTTTTTACCACTTTTATTTGTAACTAACGTTACTGCAGTTTCGTCCTATACGGACATTTTTCAAACTTATACAATAAACTAACAATAATTCTTTACATTCGCCATTATATACCACCCCTGTAGGTACTAATAGAAATAGAGATACTTTACTTGATTGAGTACCTGAATTTACAGTTCACAATGCGGATGTGCCAATTTAAAAACAGGCGAGTGAATTAAATCGAGTTGATCATTTAACAGGTTGCACCCGCAATGTTTATGCTTGTGAATTTCCAAGGATTCTATATAATTAAGTTTGCAACCCTGCCGTATCGTGTAGATTCGAAAACTTGTGGTTGCATGCCAAGGAATGGTTTGAAAACGTCGAATAATTTTTTCCTAGTCTGAAGGACATTTCATGTTCAGCATACCGTTTTTGGAAATTTTGGCTACATTGTCCCACATAATCACTATTACACTCCGGACACTTGAGCTTATAAATTCCAGATTTTTCCAACTTATCGACCTTACCCTTGGCATTGAAAGGAAATGAGATAACCTGGCATGTGGTCCGAATGCTAAGTAGGTAGGTCTGAAGTGAGTGGGTCAATTCGACCCTCCACCGCAACCCATAAGGTCTCATTGTGGCTCACACCTATTCACACTCGGCCTAATAAACCCAGCTTCTCAACGAAGCCGATTAGTTTGTATGGTGAGTGATCTTCCATGTCAGATGGTAAGAGTACGGATCAGTCAAACTCAAAGAACCTGATTCGGTCCCCATCGGGGCAGGCACAAAGTATATGCTCTGCAGTTTCATCATTTTCCAGACAGAGATGACACACACTGTCTTCCGACAGTCCAAGTCTCTGCATGACCTGTAAGAAGGCCTGTTAGACATCGTAGTTCATCCCTTGATCCAACAACTGTTTGGAATCAAGCTTTGAAGGGTGAATGAACCCCTTGGAGTGAGCCAATTCTGGTAGAGAATGACCACACCATTGAGGGAAAGTGGCGTTAGATCGTCCAATTTCCTTCTCTTGGTGAAGGGGATCAACACAGTTTTGCTGGGGTTGACAGACTGTTCCCTCAGGCACAGATATTACAAGCTACCCTTCCCGATGTGGACCTTGCCAGGATCTGCATAAGCTTGCAGATCAACTTTTCTTCTGTCGAGGGGCATCAAGCAGACTATCTACCAGGAGCGACCACAGAAGGGGAGATAGTACCCCTCCTTGAGGGCAGCCCCTGGTGACCCTGAACCTGATAGGCTCACCTTGAAGAGTCGTTGTTGCAGTTCTGTTTACTAGCATGGCATAGATCCAGGCAGTTATGGTCGATTCTATACCCTTTCTAGCCAGAGACAATCCTATATATGTAGGTAGTGTATTGTCAAATGCTCCTTCAATATCAAGAAATACAGCACCTGCAATCTTCTCGTTGTCAAGGGATTGGGAGATTTTCTCAACGAAGTTGTTTGATACTGAATCTGTCGATTTGCCGGTTTGATAAGCATACTGGTGGTTATTCAGTGTCTGAATGCTACTTCCTCATCGTTTTTTGTAAAGAACAGAAATAACTGGGGGTTTCTTCCACTACATCCATCAATTTAACAAATGAAAATATATTGACAGACACTCAAATCATCAGAATTTGCACTCCTCAGTCTAGAATATCAATACAACTTTTTTAATTTAATTCTTCAAAGAATTCACATTTGTATCACCGATATCGAAAATCGTATTTTCACTTTCCAGGTCACGAAGGAAACAGAACTGGAATAGGTCTTGACTGTACCCTTTTGGTCGTGTCTCAAACTGGGATATTCTTTTACTGCATGTTCTCCATCACCGGCTGCTACTTCACACGGTCTTCATTCAATGATTTGGAAATGGTAACGGAAATTTTAGCCTTCATACAAACCTGCTTTCAAACAATTTTCGTTCTGGACGGTTGGTGGAGAAAATGCAGCAATATACAACAAACCAAGAACAAACCTGGAAGAGAATTGATAACGTTTTTAATAGTTGCAAACATGGCGATGTGGACGATGAACACTTTGGAAAAGAACAGGGCAGAGTTTCGTCCCAGCCATTTGGAGTTTTTTGGTGAATGGGCGTGGACTATTATAACGCATATATCGATGCCTCTGGTAATTTTTTACAGGTTTCATTCGACTATTTGTCTGTTCGAAATTTGGAAGACAGCGTACAAGTTCAAAGCAAAATTGCAGACTCAGTTTTTTCCATTGATATAGTATAAAGTTGATGAGATTGTATGAATTCAGTGTATGTATTTGCTAGTTCCAGTTACTCAAAATTCATCTTTCTAGCTTCTATTTACGTCTCAGTTATGGTTTTTACAAAAAAAAGTTATGTCCTCTATTGAATCCTCAATTGAATATGTATTCAAATTGGCCGATCCTTTATTTAAATCCATAAATTATATTTGGTTACCAGTTTGTGAGATTTTCAATAAACAATTTACAAAACTACAATATGTATTTCACTATACAGTTAAATTCTTCACGTGTATTCAACAATACCTCAAATTACTGAGAAAATATTGTTTTGGCTTAATAATTCTTCAGCTTTATACCAAAAAATGTAGGAATTTTTCAAGGAAAGCAATCGATTTTAAAATGAACTCTTCACAAATATATGTAGATCATGCAAAGAAGGAAGATCAAGCGAAGATGCAATTCAAGCACTTCCCTACTACAATTCAAACATGGAATATATCGGTCAAACGTCAAGATTACTCAAAGACAGAATCAGTTCACATAAAAGTAATAGTAGATCACATCCTAAGAGATGTGCTCTCAGTAATCATGTCTCCAAAGAAGGTTCAAAAATGGACTATAATTCAACTAAAATTCCATCAACTGGAAGAAATACATCTAAACGATTGTTTTTGGAAACGCAATTTATGTTACAATCAAATAATTGCCTTAATAGAAGATCAGACACTGATCACCTCAGTGAAGTCTATGCCTTCCTATTAGACGTTGACAAATATTTACATTATTTCCAAACCAATGATAATTATGGTTTTTCATTAATATAATTCATAACATTTCAAACATTTTCTTTTTGAACAAATTTACAACCTCCCTATGGCAGGGTTTTGCTATCATTAACACACTTCTTCACTTGTTTTCCTCAAAACTAATGAGGGTGTTGTCAATTGATTTACATATTTGATTTTTGGGTTTTCTCATTGAGTTACTTATAGAACAGCGCAGATGTCTCTGATCACACTTGCACCATAACAGTTCTCTTTTGTTCCATAGTCTTATCATCGAAAACTAACACACTTTTTCAAACTGAATCACACGAGAGCTGTCATTGTCAATTGTTTGTCTCTCTCTTTGTTCTTTAACCACATGGCTTTTACCGGTAATCCATAATTTCGAAGCAGATACGATTTTTAGTAAATTTTAATTCAATAATCTTCTTTGTATCCAGTGAGGAGTCAACCTCTTTTAATGTAGTGACTTGTTTATTGTATTGACGTGTTTCATGTTTCAATTGTTCAAATGTAACATTGTTTTCGACACGGCCATCCTCACTAACAGTAAGTTTGAGACTTTTCATAATAATTTTATAGTGTACTACCATCATACAAATTTTGTAGCTTTTCCTTGAAGATGATAATAAATTTTATCGAAATATTGGAATAACTTGTGTTGAAAGAGTTCACTTCCGTACTGCTGATTACCCAAATATATTTTCCAAAACTTCAATAACTCCTAATTATTACATGCGAGCCCTTTCGGTAGCAGACAGCATCTTCATGGCTTCACCCAAACTAAACGTTTTATCTTCTTGTTTGTTTTTTTATACAGTTAAAACGCCTTAGTGCGGATATTTGACCTCTTTTCCATCCGGATGTCTCTTTAAATTCGCCTGTACTTAGGTTACATCAGGTAATATTCTTTGTGTTGGTGTTTCTCTAGGTTCATTGTTTCTAGAGATGTGTATTGTTTTGTGGAGTATATTGATTTGTAATTGTTCCTCGATAAGTGAATTATGACTTGAATTTACGGATGTTTAGGTTTTCACAGACATTTTCCAGGCTTTCTAACCTCATAAAAGAACAAACAAGAAGATAAAACGTTCAGTTTTATCTGCTTGTTTTATCAGTTCCGCGAAAGAACTCATAATATTTTTGAAAGCTATTTTGAACAATCGCGAACCATTGATCGTGAAGTAATCCAGTCCATAATACTGACTTACGGCGTTTCACAAGGTACTGTATTAGGTCCTATTTTATTTTTTATTTATTCAAATGACTTACTACATTTCGAAACAAATGGTCGAGTATTGAGTTTCGTCGATGATACGGTTATTTTGTACAGATACCCTTCAAGAAAACAGCTCAAACTATCTGCGGAATCAGGTTTCTTGTGAATTA